GATAGTATTAACATTTGTCCTTGTGCTGGTGGTACTAGTCCACAGTCTTTTGTTGGTAACAATTACTTTTGTGAGGCTGGTACTCCAGGCACTAGCATATTACAAATTCTCTACACATTTGATCCACTCTGGGATGGTCAAGGATGTACTGGCCTGGAATCGTCTTGTTGTAATGTTCCTGGTATCCCATGGTTTCACAGAGACTATGGTAGCACTACCACTACTGACTATATTGAGTTGAGGGTCTGTGGAGATGAAGGAACAAATAATGATGATGCTCCTGTTAGTTATTATGAGATTTACATCAAGTAGAATTAGTCTACATCTTTTCAGGCTATTATACCATTTATACTTAAAATTTGTATCTCATAGATAGAATTATGTTAGTGATTTTAGCTATTAGTTATGTTGTTATTTTCTGCATATGTAAACTCCTTTTTTTACTTTCATGGTTTAAGAATACAAATTTTTGTCAAAACAAGTTTTTGGGGTTGTGTTTAGTGTTTTTACTTAGCATGAAAATGATGTCTGGAGTAGCTAGTGTCTCTTCTCTTCTTAATTTAATTTGGTAGAGTAGCAGGATATCAATATCATTCACCAGATGCTTTCATTGGACCAAATGATATCAATTCTTATTATGTTGATGGTGTTAGTATCACTCGTGGGTCTCCTTGTCAACATGTCTGGACACTAGCAAATGGTTTCATGAACTCTTATGACATTAATCCACAATTCTTGTGTCCATGTTCAACAGGGAGCTCCCAGACTGTCCCATCTTTTGTAGGAAGCCATTATTTCTGTGAGTCTGGTAATCAAGCTATTAACTGGACTAACATATTCTACACATCTGATCCACTCTGGGATGGTCAAGGTTGTGGTTCTCTTGAATCACCTTGTTGTAATGCTCCTGGTATCCCATGGTTTCACAGAGACTATGGTAGCAATACCACTACTGACTATATTGAGTTGAGGGTCTGTGCTAATTATATTGATGAAGACAGTCCTGTTAGTTATTATGAGATTTATGTTAAGTAGTGAAGTGCGTGTGTGTGTGTGTCTGACTATAACATTGTCTGGTTACCTTTGAAAACTTTTAGTTACAGTGTGCATTCAATTGCTAGTAGTAGAAGTATAGTCCAGTGCATAGAGTAGTTGTGACATTTATGTGAAGTAGTGAAGTAGATTTGTGTGTAAATTAATTTTTTCATCCAGTGGCTTATCTTTATAGTTGCTATTTCTTTCTTATTAATGTATTATATTTTGACAAAAGTAGCTATTGCAGATTAATTGTGATAATAGTTAAACATGAGTTGAACAACATTAAATTACATGCATGAGTATCTACTTACCAAGAAAATGCAAGGTGCGTACTACCAGGAGCAGCAGCTGCTGCTTATTACTATAAAAGGAACTGAAATCTTGCTTCAGTAAATTGCACAGACACAGGGAGTGCCTGTAATATATGGCGTAACGCAAGGGTTGAACATGAAAATTTCCAAATCAGTAGCTACTATTTTACTAAACTATGTTACAGTTAATTACTGTGACCGTCGCTTTATTTATGCTGTATAGAAAGTAGCTAATAGTACATGTACATGTAATTCAGTAACATACCCTAACTGCTGTGCTGGTGTAAGAGAGAAACGTCCTAAACAAACCAAACAACCTCCAGCTAAAAATTAATGAAAAGGTATTCTAATCTTAACATTCTTTCTTCTATACATTGTACATCTTTTTCCTCCTCTCTCTCCCCCCTCTCTCTCTCCCTCCCTCCTTTCTCTCTCCCCCTCCCTCCCTCCTCCATCTTTCTCTACCTGTTCTTATTAATCTCAGCATCGTGTACTACTCCCCACTTCACTGAGCTAACAGCATACAGGGTCTTCCCTTTCTCTGGCTATAAGAATAAAAACAAAAGACGACAAATTATTTCAAATTAGCTCTGAAAGGGCCCAATATTTTTAAAATGGAGAATTCTCTCTTAGCCATTTTGGCCAAAGTCCCTGTAGTACAGTGTTTTTGGCCTGATTTTAAGGCAAATTTCATAAAATTCAATCTGAATCAAAATCAGCTCAAAAGTTATAAAAATTGAGGATTCTGTTCTTGTGATTTTGTTAAGCCAAGCTCTTAATAATTTGGTAATCCACTCACAAGAAGCTGCATGGGCACTATGCCAAAATCCTGTGGGAAAGGTTGTATGCATTCTAATGTACTGTGCAAATGTTCTACCTGTACATGTATAATCAAACCTGCAATTTGATGATGTTGACTGGTTTTGTGTTACCACGAATGATATTCATTGTCGCCTCACCAATTGACCTTTAATGAAAATAATATTATTGTTGTTTTTATCATTATTGTTGTTACTATACATTATAACAAAAGTAATGTTGCTATTGTTGTTATTATCAAAAAATGATAATGTACATACAAAACTGTCTGAATCCCTTTAGTACACGCAATTGTAGACATCCTTCATATTTACATGTACATGTACAGTGTAGCCTCTATATAATGGACACTTTGGGGCAAGAAAGTGTCTCTGTTACACAGAGGTGTCCTTTATGTGTAGGCTATTTTATACAGTAAGGAATGT